TTCCCCTTCAACACATTCACAAAGCTCTAACATTGCGATCCTAGAACATGGGCCTTCCCTCCACTACTTCCCTATGGAAATCAGCGTCCCATATAATGGGTTTCTTGACCTTGGACCCGGAATCTAAACATCTGTCTATTCAATCATTTGGTCCAGATCCCTCATCTCACCATTGCGGACACTTGAGTGCAGGGGGCCAGGGGCTGTCTCCATCCCGACCCAAGCCTGTGCTCATCCCACTGTTCCATGCAGCCTGGAAGTTATCGCCAGGCTCCTGATTCACCCTTTCACTCACTTCTCTTGAGAGCATACAAGGTCATCCTTGCTTCTAGGTTTCCTTTCCTCAAGATCTCTAGACTACAATATTATCCCATCAATTGTCCAGTAACTGAAAACCTACCAGCCATACTAAACTAACACATGATTCTGGCATCCTCTGTTGCCACTTCTCACCAGTGCTTTGCTTTCCACCTGAATGTTCATCAGGGAGTTTGTTAAAAATTGGAAAGGGGCAGGAATGAGGTTATTGAGCTATGAGTGATCAGACAATACAACTTACCTCATAGAAACTGTTTATTTCACTAAATTGTGGGAGAACCAATGATAAAGAAATAATCCTGGTTGATGCACAGTATTGACACAGTAGCCACACAAACCACATTCAATATCTCCGTAAGCCAGCTGCTGGCTTGTTTTGGGGGCTGTGTAATTGCTGCTGCCATCATTTCATGAACGGTCCCCTCCTCATCCCAGCACCATTCATGGTTAATAAACTAGGAGGACTGTTTCAGACAGAGAGCAATCTGCAAATCAGAAGCTTTCCAGCTAGACTGGAATGGGTGGCTTTATTATACACATTCCTAGTCACCTTGCTAACAGTCCTCAGGTTTCAGAAATGTCATTAAATATTCCATTTAAGAAACACAGGAAATCCTAAACGCGATCTGACTCATCCCCAGCCCCACCGCTTCCCCCACACCATCTCAATCCTTCAGGCACACTCTAAACTTATAGAAATGTGGCCAGGAGAGAGTTAGACTATTTTGTGTGATGCAATACAGCCTGTTCAACTTTTGCATAGCAATTCAGCAAACACAGTTTTAAGCATTCAATTCTACTTCTACAGCTTCTTAAAATTCCCTGCAATATAATTATACTGATGGGAATGCAGAAAGATAATTGCTTTTAGAGGAAAGTTTCTCCTTTGTTCCATGTTCATCTGGCTTCCAGAAATGGAACAAGAGCCCTTGAACAGCAGAAATACGCATCCATGTGTCTCTAGTTATCATTTATTTACAAAGATAGACCTTGACAAATGTAATTTGTTCAATAAAATTAAAAGGATGCACGATAATTCACTTAGACAAAGAGACTTGAAAGGGGACGTCATCGGCAGCAGCGCCGTCCATCATTCCAAATGATCAGCTGACTTTGAAGAAGTGGCAGGTGTTCCCCTTTTGGAATGCAGCATTGAAATAGTATTTAGAAGGGGGGAAAAAAGAAAGAGAGCTAGGAATTGGAGCAATTTTTTATTCAGGCAATAATTATACAAATTAGATCTATGAAAGCCAGAGAATGACTGTGCCTTGAACCCTGTCTGTGTGCATAGAACAATGGGGAAATTAATAATTAAATCTATTACATATGCTCATAATTCAATACAAAAGATACCTCAGTAGTTCAAACACTCCTGTATTTTCATTTGAATAAGGCTTTCACACATTCTCATTATATATGTATTATATTTTAAATTTAACAGCTTATTTTGTTGCCTTTATGTTTGAATTAATAAGGGCACACTTTAATGCACTAATGGGGAATTGCATTAGCCAGCTTTGCAGACATAACTTTGAAAATCTCCCTGGTTTCCCAAGGGTGAAATCAATTTGCCCCATAATGTGTTGTCTCACAGACACATCTGGAATCTTGGAAGAAGAGCTCCCCTCTACAAGCTTCTGATTTGGGCGTCCATATTTAAAAGAGGATCCCCAGAGAAGATACCTTTGCTAAACTGACCGGATCCCTCAAGCTCATCTTCTGGATTTTGCAATCTTTTAGCCAGCTGACATGCTTTTCATGCCTGGCCCATGTTATTTTTCCAGAGAACAAAAATAAATTTTCTGTGAAAAAGTAAAGGTTTATTTTTAATCCAATAAATTGTTTCCTCTCTTTTAAAAATTTTTCTTTCTCACTCCCTCTCTCCCTCTGGCTTTCTTTATATTCCTATTTTTGACTCTTTATACCACCTCTGGCTCTGTGGAGAGTGAAGAAGACAAGGAAATTAGAAAAATGAGAGAGAGAAAAAAGTGTATCCTATGGTGGGCAATGATGGAAAGGCCCCCACAACTGTTGAGGTACCAATAATAGCGCCCGAAGTACTGGAATTCAGGATAGGGGGATCAGTGGTTGAACTACAGCACTGAAATCCCAGAGAGCACAAAGAGTTCACAAAGCAGGAGTCTCGTTTTCTAAAAAACAAAGTGACTCCACAAGAAGGTCAAATGCTAAAGTTATAATCAATGGAAAATACCCATCCCTCTGCAACCCAGAAAAGAGACAAAGAAGTCAGTAGTGTGAGAAAGAAAGAGAGGAAGCCTAACCAACTGCTCACATCTCAGTGCAGAGCGGCTGCCAGCATACCCGGACAGCCCGGCACATGCGGAGGCACTCGCCGCTGCTGCCACTGCGGTATGACAAGGAGTTTTGTGCCTTCGGAGGAGCGCCAAATCCAATGATACTAATTGCATTGCAGATTTCTAGCATCATTAGCAATTCTTAAAATTACATTTGCCCTGCTTAAGTTCTCTATTTCCAGCCTGGTGTACGAAGGGGACAAGTCTCTAAAGGGGATATGGGTTACAGAGAAATTCGATTGGACATGCTGGCTTCAGGTGTGCAGGTGGAGGCTGGCCGGGGGGGATTCACAGCCCAGGAAAAATGCTTGTTTGTCTTATTTTAAATGCTGATTGCCGGGAGAATAAACAAAACCCGCAGCTAAATGGGCCTTAAAGGAACACTGGGAATTTTGGAAAGAAAAAAGCCTTACCGAATAACAGTTGGAACTAGCCCTGTGGGTCCTATGGTGACAAGCACCATCCAACCACCCCGAGTGATGGAGTAACTTGCATTTGAAATAGTTGGTGCAGAAATAACCCCTCTCCTTTTGTTTGTTTGTGTTTAAAACAAATGAATAAAATCCAGATGAATTGGTGTTTTTGCTTTGTTTGTTTCCTTAAAGAGAACATATTTGCTCATTAGGAAAGCTAGACAGCCAGCTCCAGAAACAAAAGCCCCAAGTCTGTGTCTCTCCTGAGCTTTGGCAAACACTTTGCCACAACATTTCCTGGCCCAAGTATCTCAACCCTGCTGGGAAGGGAAAGGCTATCCCAAGAGCAGAGCAGAGGTCAGGATCCGCCTCTCCCAAGGCTGCTGGCTCCTGAAACTGGGGCAGAGCTCTGTGCAGCTGGGACTTCAACTGCAGAGTCATTGAGAGACCACCAACACCAGCCTCTCCCAGAGTGGAGGGGTGGCCTCTACCCTGAATCTAGCAACAGAAAGGGGACCAGCTCCTGGGTATTTTTTCCAACAATTTATCCCATGTAATTAAATTGCTAAGCCTATATATTTATAGACACATACATACACATATACATACACACACTTACAAATATGTATTATATATACAGCTCTATGTATAAACACTCACATAGAGGGAGTATAGCTTTTAATTGGGCCGTCTTCTCAAAATAATTAAGCCAGTTTTAATGAAATACTGTTTAAGGCTGCTGGCAAGCAAAGAAGCCATCTTTAGCAGAGCATTAATAAACTGAGTCATTCGCACGAGGGAACGGCTAGCTGTATCAGTCACATTCATGGTGCTAATAAAAGAGCTCAGTTCTCTGTGGCGGGCCAAGGACTGGAGGGCTGGGAGGGAGCACAGAGCCCAGTCATCTCGGGCTCACTGTCACAGACAGCCCTCACGGCTGCAGCAGAGTTCACAGTGCAAGCTGGAAAAAGGGTCTGCTTGCCCTCAAAGGATGCCAGCAGGAATCTAAGTCCATTGCTCTGTCCATGGAAAAGTAAGGTGACCAATTGCAGGGGCTGGTCAAGTCTCCAGAGCTTCTTGGTACCTGTGACTGGTGCTGGACCAGGTTTGGGAACAGGGTACAAGCGTGGCCAGACTTTCCCCTTTTGGCGTCCCAGTTGCTGTCTACAGTGACCTGCCAACCCCATGATATTAATGAGATAAACATGTTGGGAAGGTTTTTCAGAGGTATTGATGGGAGTCATGTTTAACTCTTAAAATAAGGGTAGTCATTCTCTAAACCAGGAATTTAGATAGGACTTCCCTTATCAATACCTCCTGCTGCTTTTTAGGAGGAGGTAAAGGCATACCTGGTTTGGTTTTTAGTCAAATGGATGGTTTACCCATTCTCACAATGAGAATCTTTACAAACGGGACTGACTTTCACCAAAAGCAATGAGATCGACTTGCTGCCACGTGAAGGTCCATGTCAATGAGATGGTGTAGCAGTATCTGGTGCTGGAAAGAAAGAGGGCTGTATAAGATTCCCACTGTACCAAGGAGGAAGCTGACATGCCCCAGTGTTACACCGTTCATCCCCAGCAGCGCAGCCGCCTCCTGAATCCTTCTTCAAGAGTTCTGGGAGAAGAAAATAAGCCCCGTTACCCTCTCTTCCTTTCTGCCTTGGAAAGGGCAGGGCTATAAAACACGGTGGGGGAAGGTTTTTCCTAATTCCAGACAAGGCGGTAAAAGCAGGAACCTTTTGATTTCTGTAAGATCAATCTGATGAAAGGCTGGAACGGAAGTTTATATTGGACCATGATAACAGTTACCATTTACTGAGCCTTTTCATTTGCCAGGAGGACACTGTAGATGCATAATAGTTCATAATCCTTACCACAACTCTGTGAGCTAGCGAGTTGTATACCCATTTGACAGAACAGGAAACTGAGGCTCAAAAAGTCAACCAACTTACCCACAGTCCTAGAGCTCTCAAACAGCAAAGGCAGGATTCAGACATCCCAAAGCAGTGAACAGCGTGCCCTGGTTCTGGTAACACGCCTTTCGGGTCCTCCCTCTCCCGTTCTCCTCTACCCAGGCTTGATGCTGGGTCCGTCTTCCCTTTGGCCTCACCACTAAAGCTAATGTTGACATTTTCATCAACTTCCCAGGCCCGCACTCCCAGGAGCAGCAACAGGCATCAAGCCTCGGCGCAGACACAGTCCTTACAAAAGGCAACTTCCGGGGAAGAAAAAGAAACTCCTTGTTCTCAGCTCACTTTCAGAACTGATGCCCCGCAGACAGGAAGCGTGCCTGGAGTGTGCTTTCAGCACGGAGGAGGAAGGAGAGGCACACGCAGGGCTGGATTCCCGGTTCTCCAGGATCCGGAAGTGGAAGAAGCCGGGGAGTGACGAGGGACCCGGATCCGGCCTAAACCAACGCCCTTGGGTCAAGCCCCTGTGGAATCCTGGACAAAGCAGCCGCGACCTGCCTGGGGGACCGGGAGCAGGGAACGGAGACCCCAGTGGAGCCAAGGAGCCTGGGCGGCCAGAGGAAATGGGCGACGGTAAATGGAGATGCAGCCGGGTATAGGAGAGGACGACCATCGACTGGGAAGCCGAATCCCCCTTGCGGTTTGAAGGCTCTGAGGAGGGGAAGCGCCCCGCGCCCGGCCCCCAGCCCTCCTCCGGGAATGAAGGGCTGCAGGGCCCGCCGAGGCCGCCACGCGGGGACCGCCTGGCTGAGTCCCACCGAGACGTGGCCGGCGCCCACCGCCCCTGCCCGGCCTCCGCCTGCTCCTATGGCAAGCACGAGGCCCCACCGTGCAAGCGCACTGTGCATCGCGCCTGCAGCCTTTCGAAAACAGAAAAATAGGGAGTATATTTAGTACCCCAAACACTTGTAATGATGCCGCTCCAAGCAAATGAGTCCTTAATAATCCAGGAAGCGAGAACAGCGACCGATGGGGAGCAAACAGCCCGGCCCTGTGGGGTTGAACGCGGGGCACCAGAGACTCCTGACACCCCATGGGGCACAAGTCCCAGCTCCAGGCGTGCCAGCACAGGCCCTTCCCCGGCGAGGAGCCGGGCTTCTGACCAGAGGGCAGGGTGGCGAGAGGAGGCCAGCAGGACGGCTGACCCTGCGTGAAAAAAAAAGAGAATTCCAAGGCACCGCAGCTAGTCCTCCCTGGCTGCGACCGTGCCTCGGGCTGGGAGGATGTTCCTGTGGCGCCACCTAGTGTCCGAGGTGCAGAGAACGCCCTGGCGAGCGAGGGCTGCAAGGACGGCCTGCGACCAGCCCTGAGACCATAGACTCAGGCTGGGACATTGGGATGGGTCATCCCAGGGGCCCCCCGCTGTGGACCAGTGATGCCCTTCCACCAGGCAAAAAGCCCCCCAGACGTCTCTCTCTTCCTGCTGCAACCAGAGCTAAAAAGAAAATTTGCCAGAACGAGTGGAATAACTGACGGTCCCTTTCAATGAGACGTCTTCCATGAGGTGATGTCTGATTTTTCTTAAATACAATGGCAAGTCGATTATTAGTTCATTCAGAAAAAATATAGATGCGGTCATCGTATAAACATGAGTTCCCACATAGAACTGAGCCTCGGACCCGCTGGAGGTGCTGTGTCTGGGAAAAGCTGAACTAGAATTTTGGGTGGAATAAAGTAAAATCTTTACTTTTTATTTTAACAGTAGCCTGAAGACCTCCTGCAGAATAATGGAAAGGATCAATACCTGGGAACCAGGATACTAAGGTTCTGGCATTGGCTCTGCCCCTCAGTTGTCTGTGTGACCTTGACCAGAGAGAAACAGTTTTACCTCTGGCAATGATGTGGAGTCTAGATTGATATCTACATGTGGTAGATAAGGAAACAGAGGTTCCAGAAGTTTACCCAAGGCCAGGCAGCAAATCAGTGGCCAGACCAAGCTTCAGCTCCACATCTGACCAACTCTGAAGAGCACGTTCCCTTCACCAGCCACTAAATCCCTTCGTGCTTTGGCCTTTTCATCTACAGCATAAGGGGACTGTACCAAGTGGTCAGGATTCCTTCCAGATACAGCAAACTGTGATTCTAAGGTTTCACTGATCCCTTAAAACCCAGTTTTAGTGCTCACAAACCCCGTGGTGATAACAAAAGAGCCTTTAAAAAGGATTTATCCACCTATAAAAACCATTAGATTTTATTTTGGGCTATGGGCAAAGAACACCAAAACAAACTTGTTGGAACATCAAACTACCTTTAAAATTCAGGGCAGCAGGGACAGAGGAGAAAATCTGCACAGGCCGAGGAGGGACAGCTTACAGATTCTGCGGCTATAACCAGACTGCAGGGCACTGCTTATGTGCCATTGCTTCCTGGGGGATAATTACCTCCTGACAATTGTTTAGACTTGATAAATACATGAAATGGGGCCACCAACAGTTTATCTGGCTACCAGTTCAGATCCAGACAGAACCAGATGAAGAAGTCAGGCACATTTGCAATAACCTCAAAGATAAAACCTTCCTATCTGAGACGGCTTATCTGCTCCTCAGGGTCATGCTGCCCAGTAACTGCCACCTCCAAAAGAAGGAAGGGGAGAGCACTTCTAGCAGGGGGCTCACAGTGTGCCTCGCTTGCCTTGAATTCCCCTTCCTGCTCTCCCGACAGGCCGCCTGCCTGACGGCAAGGGGGTGGTACCGTGCCCTAGTCTGGAAGGCTTGGGAAAGATGTTAGCAAGGAAGGTGGAAGAAATTGGCAACTAGACCCTAAAGCCAAGGTCACCTAACTCTGAGATGAATGTTTTCCTCGTGGGCTCCTCCTCTGCTTCAGAAGGACCAGCTGAAGGAACTTGAGGCCTCCCCAGCAAGGATAAGACCATGAGCCGCAGCTCAGAGGAGCTGGGACCCTGCTGGGCTACATATGCACCCCACGACCAAAGCAAGTTGGACCTCTGGGCCTCAGTTTCCTCACTTCTCAGGGGTTTGAGCTAAATAATCCCTAAGATCTTACTGAGCTATTTTATGGACTGGAATCAAACCAGCCAAAACATCTTTATGGTTTAAAAGATGCCAGAGGTTTCATTGAAGAACCATCTCCCTGCCTTACATTTTTCCTTAGCCCACTTGCGTTTCTTTTCCTCCTCCCCAATAACTCTCATTTCCTGGCCACAAACCTCCAACCTCCAACTCCTTTCCAATGTCAGTGGCTGGCTCCACCAGGCTCGCTAAGGAGCGAGAAGACCATCACCTCGGAAAGCAGCCCCGCTGGGTGGTCTACAGAGCAGTTTGCCGAGCTGCAGACAGGCCCTTTATTTTCCATCCGTCAAGGAAGGAAGCTGCCTAATGCTTATTTCCTCCTCCCACTCTTCTCCCTTCCCATCAGCGGACTCTTCCACCTTCAAAATATTCTGATAGGGGATCACAGGAGTTTTCCTCAAACAGGATCACTTGGGGTCAACCACTGAGCAAGCCCCAGCTGCAGCCCCACCAACTCCCTCACCCTCCAGTTTGAGCGATGGCTCCAGTTAGTAAAGCAGTTGGCTCAACAGGACAGCAACCAAAAGTTACTTTCAATGCCCTAAAGCCCTCACTTGACACCACCTCTTTTTTTTATTTAATTCTTCAGGGGCTTTTGGGGGACCCACAACTGAGCTGTATTCTGCAGAAAGAACTTCCAAAGGAAAGGAATAAGGCATTGTTTTACCAAGAGCCTTTTCTCCCTCAAGAAAGTCAGTGTACACTAGGCATCTTGCACTTTCTTTTCCCTTTGGGTAAGTGAGCAGAAGGAAAGCATTACCACCCAGGGTGAGGTCAGTCCTCACTGGTGGTGGGCTGTCTGGTTCTTTCAGAGTTTCCCCATGGTGCTGGCCTCACAATAGGTGTTCATGAGGTGCAGGCTAATTGGGTGAGTGGATGCAGCGCCCTGATGGATTTATTCAGTGTATGAGATTGCAAAGCCACATGCCAGCAAAGGCTTAAGCACCCCACCCTTCCCTTCAGACCAGTCCCATAGCTTCCCATGTCCCTATCTACCAGCTTCAATCTGAAGCAAAGGCAGGGATCTGAGCTATATCCCCGGTGAATGCCCGTCCCCTGACCCCTGTGCCAGTGCTTTGTCCCTGTGTGCCTCAGCTTTCTGTCTTCTCTCTGGACTATGATTCATGGCAGATATTAAAAAGGAAACAGCATCCTTCAGTTCTTTCTACCATTTCCCTTATCTTTAAAGGGTTCTTATTAAGCAGTATCTTCAAACTTATTTATGTGATGTCATGCTAGGAAGCAGTATTGTCAATGTGCCACTTTCCATGAGCACTGAATTCAGTAAAAATAAAAGCCAAATAAATGTTACATTGCCTCCATGCAGAATCCTCTCTAGTCATGACTAGCTATCCAGAGAGTCGGGAATCCCTAAAGATAATCAGATAATGGTAACTTTTACTTACCAAGGCAGTCAGACGGCTCCCTTTTCCTCTCCTCTTCTGGAGTGATTGATCTGGAGAGGCAAGCTTCTTGCTGGGCCACAACTGCCATCCACTCCTAGAAGCCAGCCCAGAAGCAGGGACACAAAATCATGGGGAGCCGACCATGGCCACAGGGTCATGCTATTACCCTTCACTTCACATTTTTCCTTCTTTTCTGAATGTTATGAAGATACACAGATGTATGTATTTTATGTCTGTTTTCATATTAAAAGTGAATGGGCAGGAGGAAGTGAGGAGGGGAAGAAACTAGCCCTCAAACGCCAAGCATCGTGCTGGGAACTCAAGCCCCCCAGTCATGGTCACTGGGGAAGGGATAGGCATCACCCACCCACTTAGTTCATATATGAATAACTGCTCATACTTGAAAATGTCTTGAACTACAAGTTGCAACTACAGGAAGTGGGGAGCCCCCCACAGGAGCTCTGCATCTTCCCTGAGAGCTCTTGGATAGTGCTCCTTCATCCTCCATGACTTTGATCTTGCAGCTCTGTTTACCTTCAGTGCTTTCTCGCTCTTCTCACCCTCATCCCAACCCCTTCCACTTTTCAAGACTCATTTAGACATCATCCCCAAGAAAGCTTCTGATTCCTCACTGCCCGATCCCATCTGTGTGGGCACCCATAGAGATGTCCTGTACAGCGCTTGTCCCCACTGTGTTGTAATACTCTGCGTATCTGACTGCTTCCTCAATGTACTGTGAGCTCTTTGAATGAGAGTCTGGTTCAACTTTGCATCCCCAGTATCTACTGGTGCAGTTCTAGGCTACCTCTTGCCCAAAACACCTCTGTGTTCTGAGGAAAAGAAGAATGCAGCCCCATCCCTCTCACTCACCCCATATGCACACTATCAGCCTCCAGCAAGGCCATGTGACTCCCTTGTTCAAGTCAGAAAAAGGTGCTCTCTCCTCATAGTGGGTGCAGCCCCGCAGCAAGGAGCACGTCTCGGTGAGTAGGACATGAGCTGGATGTCCACACCCACTGGGCCGGCCTCCAGGCAACCTGCACAGCTATATTGGTTGGCTCTGGTCAGATCAATCACTCTAGCCAGAGAGCAGTGACCCACTTCTCTGGACCTCTGGCTCAGCTTCCAAGACACCAGGCTGCTTTTTTGCTCCACTACCGACTCCCTCTAACCACAGCTGCTCATGAAGTAGATAAGCCTGTGTGTCTATAACAGCACAGTGCTCCATGCAACCCAAACACAGAATCCAGAAGAGAGAAGCCAAGGAGGTCCCGTTTCTTCCAGGCACATTGCCAGCCTCTGTCCGGGTCTGGGCACGTGGGCTCATTTACATAGCTGGTTTGGAGCTTTTGGCAGATGAAAGTGTGCGGATAGTTTTATATGTGTTGCTCATCATTAAATCCCCCCTTCAGGGTTTCTTGCTGCCTTTGGTTTGTGTCTCAATCTGGAGCAAATTTAAGCAAAGGTTTAGGTCTCTGCATTTCCTTGGTTTAATTAATAATTCATAATAAAAATTTAATCAAGGCATAAGCTTTTGTGGAAGGTTATAAAACACTTTTATTTGCCCTGGAGATCAGAATGACCACTTTCTAAATCTGTGAAATGATGGGTTTTTTCCCAAATGAGGAAATTTTACTCTCAACTGTAAATTTCAGCTGTTTGCCATATGTAACCGCAGAGAATCTGTTTATTGACTTAGTATATTAGAAGTAGTTAGGCAGGAAGAAAAATAAACCCAAACTCCAGACGGGAGAAAGTGTGGGGAAGGAATGAAGAGTTGAAGTTAGAGTCTAGCAAAACTCCAGCCTCAGAAGAGATAAATGGCAGAACCCATCTCCCAAAGGAGATAATGATGATAGGAACCAGACCGGGAAACAAAGAAACTGGTGGGACAGTCATTACAAGCCATTCAAGATCTTTGGAGATATAAGAAGAGAATGCAACGGGAAGAGTGGAGCCGTGAAAGGATTTCAGACACTATGCGAACTCTGCAACAGGGTATGGAGTCCTGTTTGGTGAAATCTGTAAACATGGGATGGGTCTTCACCTGCCAAGAAAAGAGTTCTTGCCAAATAGCAGAGAGAGCTCTAGACCAGGGGTAACTCAAATGTCCATCCGCAGACAAAGCCCCCTAAAAATATAGAGTCCTCTGTATTTTAGGAGAGCCCCCTAAAAATAGAGTCCTCGGCCCCCACTTTAAATGCCTTTTAAACTCTGCAAGTGACTTTGATGTCAGCCAGCTTTGGGAACCATGGTCCTGACAACCTTTGAAAGTCCTTCAGCATTAATTCTCTGAGATTTGTAAAAATTAAGTCAAGAGAGGAAGCACAAAGTTGCTGCAAAGAGCTGGATTCAGGGAATAATGTCTAATAATCAGTTGTTCTCCACAATAATTACTGTAACAATAACCTGTTATTAAATTTGTGGTTACTCCCCTTAATCTGACAACAACCCTGAAAGAAGGGTATTATCATCCCTCTTTTAGAGCAGGAAATGGAGTTTCAGAGAGGTGAATCAGTTTGTCCAAAGCCATGCTGCTAGTGAATGGCAGGGACAGGCTTCGAGGTCTCCTGACTGCAAACACTGGACTCAACCCTAATGGTCTGCATGAACCAGTCTGCTTTAAAGTGAGCTAAGTATAAACAACGGGGTTTGCAGAAGCCCCTGGAAGGCCCAGTGGCGGACCCCACCCAGCACTGATTCAGGCTTAAGCAGCCACTCCATGATGAGCAAAAAGAAACAGACTCCTCGGGGCTTAATGGTCACCAACAATTTTCCAGCGTGGAAAAATAACTCCAGGGGAAGTCACTCAGATCCTGGCTTGGCAGAATTGGCTTTCCTCCTCATTCAAGCCAGACTCCTCACCCCCAAGCCCAGCCTCAGCCCCAGTCTGACCCACAAAAGCCCACTGGGCAGAGTGGGTAGCCCATACCTGGTTGCCAGGAACTTTGAAGAGAAAGTGTTTAGTGGGGTCCCTAAAAGACCAAGGTGTTGGCAGCAAGGCACAGAACACTTTTAGGAACCACTAGTTTAGACCAGTACATTTAGTTATAAGAAGAGTTCCTGGGCTTCTAAACCGTAATCTGAGTGCAGTGACTTTGGAGCCGAGGGGGTCAGCATGGAAGAAGATATTAGTGAGGGCAGCTCCACTGCCTGCGCCTGCAGCGGGAGATGCCGTTCAGGGGCAAGGGTGGGCGGAGTCGGGTGGATGAGCCTCATTCTGGCTATGAGAACCCACTTCACTACGTGCTTGGCCCAATCCCCTAAATCCCTCCATGAGCTACTTGTTAATACAGACATTCGAGTATCCCAAATCCAAACTGCTCCAAAGTTCAAAACTTTTTGAGTGCCATCAAAATGCTGGAGCATTGCAGAGACAGATTTTATAATGCAAACATTCCAAAATCCCCAACAGTTTTCTAAAGCTGAAATACTCCTGGTCCCAAGCATTTTGGATAAGGGCTACTCAGCCTGTATTTTTAAATGTATAAGAATATACAAGGAAGAACCTTGTTACAAAGAGTTGGTTAAAGATGCCTTCTATAAAGAACTATTCGATAAATCACAGGTGGGTTAGTAATTTAAAAAAAAACAAGACTGTGAATAAAAAGTAGAATCAAGGATGAGGCTACAACAAAATTTTCTAGCTCATATGCTTATTTGGGATCAGGCAGAGATTTGGGTTTGTCTTCTAGCTGCCATGGCAAAGCAAAAAGATGGGGGAGGAGAGACCTCTGATTTGCTAGAAAAGTCAGTGATCTTAACAAACCAGACCCATGAAGCAAGCCAGTCACAAAAAGACAAATACTGTCTTATTCCTCTTAGAGGAGGTACCGGGAGGAATCAAATTCATAGAGACGGAAAGCAGAACGCTGGCTCCGGGAGTTATTGTATAACGGGTACAAGGTTTCCATTTGGAAAGATGAAAAGAGTTCAGAAGATAGATGGTGGTGACGGTAACACAACAGTATAGGCACTGAATGCCACTGAACTATGCACATAAAAATGGTTACGATGGTGAATTTTATGTTGTGTGCACTTTACCACAATTCTAAAATGTTACAACTTAAAAATGAAAAGAAAAAAAAAAAGCCAGGCCCTGAGGAGCTGACCTTTCTGCTTCTGATACGAAGATGAGGAAGAAGTTTCTTCTTAGTGTTCCACCAAAAGGAGACTTTTAAGGTTGTAATAAAGGACAGCCTCAGCGACATGCTTACAGGAGACGCATTTCTCAGTCCTCAGTGGCGGCTGATGCCTTCACAGTAAAATGCAGTTCAGAGAAAGCACTCCGGTGGGGCAGGGGGATATAATGCCATCCAGGTAACCACACGGGATGGCTCGTGGAGGCAGGAGAGGACATCTGCTCACATGACTGCGGGAAGCAGCCTGCCTAGCCTTCTGCAGAGGCTCCAGCATGAGGGACCTTGTGATAGCACCACTGCTGCCCAGTTTGAAAGTGAGACATGCAAATATGGTTACTTGGCCACCCACCAGAGTTAACACTGATGTGACACTCATGTCCCCAAGCTCTCCAGCCTTCAAGGCTCAATTCTTCCCTTAATGCAAATAACTACAACCTTAGCTCCTATCCCAGGAGATTGCAGGAAAGCTGGTCTTTAGTGAGCTTCTCCCATCCCAGGTGTTTCTGAGAATCCTCCAGAAATGCATCCACATTCTAAAGATCAGGTCTGTTTGCCACTTCACGTTGCCCTCGATGGACAAGTTTTCTACCGCCTCTAAGTCCCCCCTGGCTTCTCCAGGTTGCTGGCTCCCCCATTACATAGACCCAGACTCCTCCTTTAGTATTCCAGAACATAAAACCAAACTGTAATATTGATCGAAATTTTCTGAACGCTCCAAGATAGCAGAAAGGAATTACAAAATTACAGAAACAGAAAGCTTAAACCTTGGAGATAAGAAGTCCCAACCATCTTTGTCCTTAACCCCTAACTTGTCCCACATTTCAGGGGCCAGCCGGCTTTCCCCCAAATGCTTTGACCATGTTCCTTCTACCTAGAATCTGGCTTCCCTGATACATTTTGGGGTCCAAAAAAGAGAGAAATCTCCCAGAGTGTCCTCCAAGTCCAA